CAATTTTAAAAACTGAGCTGGAAGCCCTTTGTTAAAAAAGCTGCTGAGAAGGAGGGAAAAAGAAGTTGTATGGCCAAGGCAGACCTGAACCGCCTTTGCTGGTAAAACTATCAAGTGCTCTTTCCTGTGAGTTTTAGGTTGGTAAGCATTTCCTCACTGGGCAGCCATGGGCTATCCAAGACCAGCAACATCACATACTCCATATCCAACTCATTAAAACAACTTAAATTGTTAAGAAAATCTCATGGTTTTATTGTGTAATGTAGCATTGAAACATCTGAACAAATCAGTATCTGGGCTGTACAGGCTGCTGTTCTTCCATTTCTTTGGGTTATAGAGCATCTTGTCAGTACATAAACAACAACCTTTTGCATTATAAATTCTTTCCGAGGCATGCTGGTACAACACAAATTTCTCTTGTCAAATGCAGCTAAGTCTAACTTCCAAACATCATGCACAAGAAACTCATCTAGTGACAATGTAAACTCAGCAGAAGGGCAGGTCACAGGTCTTGCTTGCTCACGCTCTGCAGTGCTGCAGGTTTGTGTATGATATTTGGAATGTTCCGTGAGTGTGAATAATACCAGTAAGAGGAGAGGAGAAAAAAACCCAAAAAACAAAACAAAACAAAAAAAACGAAATCAAAAAGCATGGGTGCCTCAGGGTTGCCAGCTCAGCCAAAGTTGTGCAATGCTAGCCTGAACATGTCATTGGTGCAAACCCAGGCATCGTTGATGTTCTTTAATAGAAATATCTGGTGGAATCCCATGATAGGATCTTCATCAGCCTGTAGGAAGAGAGGAAAAAAACATTCAAAAAGCTCATTTTTGAGACCTGTATCCATAACTCATGATAAGACAACTTAAAAGCTAACATTAACAGTGATATCACATGCTGTAAGATGAGTAGTACCTCAAGAGACACTAATACAACCAAAGGTTCTAATCCAAGGTGCATTGCAGACAAACACCTAGGGCCCAATGACACAGAAATCCTGCAATGGCATCAGAAGCTGGGCGTTTCTGGAAGGCGTGCAGACATCTCATTCCAGCAGCTTCGCACCATGGGCAAGAGCATGCCCACCTCCACGCTGCATCGCAAATTTTCTCTGGGCCTTGCCCAGGAACCGAGCATAAACCAAAGGGGTTCAAAATTAGTTTGTAGCTGCTGTAGTTTGGATTGATGACAGAAGGGAGCTTCTGTAGAAGTTGGTCTCAACAATATTGCCCAAGTGATCTAGGCAATGAGCGAGGCTTTTGAAAGCTTTCCCAGAGCAGGTACAGCTGGCCAGCAGCACAGTACTTCCCACTTCTACTGTCCAGGAACAGCTTGAAGTATTTGCTATAGCTGCGACAAGATGTTCTAAGCACAGGGAATCTTTGCAACATACCTCAACTCCTGCCTTTGACAATTCACCTAGGCAGGTCATAATGCCCGCACTGTATTTACTGTACCAGTACAAAAGTAGAAAATAATATTAAAGTGAGATTACTTCTCCTATCTAATGTTTACGAGTCTCCTCAAAGACATCATACAGGAATTAAAACCTCAAAATAACATAAATGATGCCCAAATCAGCCAGAAATCACATAACAGGATTTAATCTGAGCAGCGCACAGGACAAGCTACAAAACAATCTTCTGATACTGGCTGCAGTGTATCAAATTCAGCATTTTTGGAGGATTTTAAGCTCTATTCTTTCAGCACACGACTACTCAGCTTCAGAAAAGGGGGGGAAATGCATGAAAGGAAGCACTGAAAAGCAGCAGCCAGAGTAGCACATGAAACAGAATGTCAAAGTGCTGAATGTCCAGTCGCAATGCTCTGCTGCTGTCCACCAAGACGGCAAATGAAAAGGTCAGAGCAAAGCAGACTACAAAATAAACAAAAAAAATCTTTACTTAAAAAAGTAACATTAATGTAAGTCATGAATTAACTGTGAAACAAAGCAGCTTTGAGGAGCAGCTTGCTAAGGACATCAGTGATATCACAAAACAGCGAGTCTGCCAGAGCACTGGTAGGTGCACATAAAAGCAGCATTCAACTGCAAAACCACTGCGAGGATTTCATAGGGACCATTGCCTATGAGATAAAATGGTGTAGGTGAAGTGTAGTTTCAGTAAGTGCATACTAACTCACAGAGGAAAACCAAAAAGGGCCCTAGATTATCTATGGCCTCTCAGGAAAGTGATACTGAAATCACAATGGGTAATTTTATTTATTTATTTTAAACCAGCTGGGAGCTCAACAGCTATCAAGGCAAGCACAGTGTTAGCAGTTATTAGGAATGGAACAGAGAACCAAAACCCGTAAGTAAGCAAGTGCATAAATGCAGAGAGCACCCACACATCAAATCCTGCATGCATTTCTTATAATTTAAAAAAATTAAAATGATACAATAGGGAAAGGCCAGCG